AACCGAGCATCAGAATAGGGAAGAAAGGGAATTTAAGTGACTTTGAACGTGGCATGGTTGATGGTGCCAGGTGGGCTGGTGTGAGCATTTCAAAAACCGCTGATCTACTGGGAATTTCATGCACAACGATCTCCATGGTTTACAGAGAATGGTCCAAAAAAGAGAAAATATCCATAGAGCAGCAATTGTGTGGATGAAAATTCTTTGTTGATGTCAGAGGTCAGAGGAGAATGGGCAGACTGGTTTGAGATGATAGAAAGGCAACAGTAACTCAAATAACCACTCATTACAACCAAGGTATGCAGAATATCATCTCTGAATGCAAAACGCATTGAACCTTGAAGCAGATGGGTTATAGCAGCAGAAGACCACACCGTGTGCCACTCCTGTCAGCTAAGAACAGGAAACAGAAGCTACAATTCACATAAGCTCACCAAAATTGGACAATAAAAGATTGGAAAAATGTTGTCTGGCCTGATGAGTCTCAATTTCAGCTGTGACATTCAGATGGTAGGGTCAGGGTGTAGTATATCTGTTTGATTTCCTCTTTATGGATTGTTTTTTTTCTCTGGGACTGGGGCCAGTAAACTTTTTTGTTGTTATTTGGTAGATTGCTGGGTGGTCCTCTACTTCTCTGGCTGGGACCCATAGCCCTTTCAGGTAGCAGTTCCTCCCCTTATTATTGAATATCTGTCCTGGTTTGGAGCACCAGCTGATCCCCAGTGTCCTCCTGTTAGTCATGGTTATTCCATAATGGTTGCCCTTCTTCATATAGCCTTTGTTCAGGTATTGATTTCTTCTTGTCGTATGATGCTCACATCTGATGAATCTCACAGTGGTTATTGCCCATCCCTCAGCTGGACTGCTTTTGGACATCCCACCTTTTCAAGAATTTGTACAATTTCTGTGTCCCTCAATGTATGATAAAGAAAAGAAGGTTTTTGTTCTTACTGTAAAATGTTTTAAAACATTTTGAAAAAAAAACAAAGGTCCTGCCCTTTTGTGTTATTAGATCTTGTACCGTTTGCTCACAAAACTGAAGCATGATGGTTGGAGATGAGGTTATATAGGGGTTTGCTTGACATTCTTTGTATATCACTGTTACTGTAACCAAAGTTAAAGTATGTACAAAAATCTTATTTTCCCCAGTAGTCCACTGGAAGACACATTGCTCTTCTTTCTGGTAAAAGATCATGTTATGTTTGCCTGCTGCCAAGATTAAACTGTTCTTCAAAGAAGGATACTCACTTACTTCCCTTTCTCACTGCTTGCAACAACTGAGCTTCTTGAAGCAGACCTTTCCCCATCCTCCTAATATGAAACTAACACCATTATTGAAATTATATTTGCAAAATACATACATCAAATTATTATATCGTGCCTAATTTCTTTCAGTATTCCCATATCCTATTTTACCTAGGCCAACAGTCCAAAAGCAAACATAATCCATGGATGGTTTCTTCTGCCTTTTCCATGGAGGACTACCAATGGTGTCATTGCAGAATTTTGTGCATGTGCTTTATGAAAATTTGTGAAGTTATCTCTGGGAAAAGGAGAACCTATTCCCCCAAGTTCTTGCAAGGTTTTATACTGGAGATCTTCCTTGAAGGCACAGGTAATGTAGCCTGACCAGGGGACAGTTGGAAAAGAAAACTGGGAAGTTCACTAAAATGTAATTGTGACAGACCCAACAAGGACAGGAGTTTTTGGAAGGGACTACAGGCTAGCCTCTTGCCTACTGACCATGAGCCCTGGCATTTGAGGGGGCTCTATTCCTTTAGAGATGTGTGCCTGGCGGGGATCTTTGGAGTAGTTTTTTGGATTCACATCCATGTCTCCCCGAAACATACAGACTTTGAGAACTAGAGGACCCGGATGCAGATTTGGCTTCTCTGTGCCCAAATCAGCATTGACTGCTCCCTCCTAGAACCAGAAACTCAGAGCAGATGTTAATATAATCAGCTCAAAACAACCTGATTCTGAGGTCTACTGCTGTACTCTGTTTAAGGTGTTATGTATTTACTGTCGTGTCTTTCTCCCATTGTTATTTGCATTCATTGACTCACCTATTTTTTCTTTCTGCTGGCTAATTCTCATGGAGATTCCTACATGATGGGATTAGTCTTGTGTCAAACATGACCTCCTTACCTAATCATTGTGTGATGTTTATCACAATGTGTAATATTTGTTTTATTGTTCATGTGGGGACTACCCCTATTTCTGCAGTGTATAAAAACCTGTATTTCTGTTCAATAAAGTAGTTCCTGTTTGCACCTAGGCTAGTGTTATCTAGTTCTTTGGTGCAATTCTGAGCTATAATACTGTGTTCCTATGTTCCAGCGGCGAGGAAGTAGCTCTCTGGCGGATGCAATCCAATGACTCTCACTGTGTTCCTGTGTTCCAGCAGCGAGGAAGCAGTTCTCAGGCAGATGCACTACAATGACATGCACTGCTGTCTCAGAGAGGAAGTCCTGGAATAGATGAGACTCCAGTGCACATTGCTGGATCAAAAGGGAGCTTAGAAGAGTATGGAGGGGGGGGGGGGGGGGGGTTTGCTGGGGGAGATGCTGCACAGAGAAGGTTTTGCACCTTCCTGCATAGAATACATAATGGTAAAAAACCTTGAGCCTTTACAAAAACTTTAAGTTGCAGTAGGTTATGGGAGCGAATCCAGAAAACCTTATCTCTGTATCTCTAAACATTCTGCACTTTTGTCCACAGGCAAAAGAAAGACTAGTAATGCCTGCTTTGACAACCAGATAACATGAAACAATAGAAGTCTGCAAAAGAAAAAAAAACTACATACATAGAGTTGTGAGAGGTTGAACTTGATGAATATCACTATTTGTTTCAAATGTATTATTTATGCAAAACTTTGGTCCATATGCCATTTAGCCTATAAATATGTTTTTAAAACATAAAATTATCAATAATGAAATATACTTACTTATGCTTTCTAATGTCACTGATGCCGTTTTTACGATTACCAAGCCTTTCTGCAGGATTAATCCTAGAAGCAAAAAAGTAATTGCTTAAACTTCCAATCGGCCATAAAATTATGTTAAAACAACTGGATTTAGTAAGTATTGATTTTGTAAACAAAGCTTCAAAACACTAGTAAGTACCCAAAAATTAAGACGAAGGATGTTCATTAATATATTTTTTCATAAAAAGCTAAGAAATAAACAAATATGAAAAATGCTAGTTTGTTTAATGTACAATATACATTTTGTATTACTAATACTATTCCAAATATTTTAAATTATGTTGTCCATATTTTATATTTCTACATATAGACCTTATTCTAGCACTGTGCTGGTTGTAATTAATTGATTAATTAAAACAGTAGCTAGTTTAACAGAATGGGTAAAGGACTGAATGATCAGAGGGGAGAGCAACTGTATCTTTCAGTTTACTAAACAGTAAACTGTCCATGTTGTCCATATTTTTATATTTCTATATATTGAACTTATTCTAGCACTGTGCTGGTTGTAGTTAATTGATTAATTAAAACAGTTGTCCATATTTTATATCTCTACATATTGACCTTATTTTAGCACTGTGCTGGTTGTAATTAATTGATTAATTAAAACAATTGTCCATATTTTATATTTCTACATATTGACCTTATTCTAGCACTGTGCTGGTTGTAATTAATTGGTTAATTAAAACAGTAACTAGTTTAACAGAATGGGTAAAGGACTGAATGATCAGAGAGGAGAGTAACTGTATCTTTCAGTTTACTAAACAATTGCAAAAAAGCAATAATACGAAACAAACTCAGGATGACAAAAAACATGCATAAACTGCATAATAATATAAAACAGATTATGAAAGCTGTACAGACATGGACTCTTCACAGCAATGTCACTGTGATTCAATCAGGGTGACACATGGCTGCATAGATTCCTCCAAATACAACGTGAGTGTGGCAAGGAGTCTTGGTTTCTACAATACTGCACTTAGAGGGTCTTTTTTCTTGGCTCACTGGGCTGGTGAGCTACTGTCTTTTAGAGACATCTGGTCTGATCAGGGGCAACAGGAGCCCCATAAGGAGATCCATTGGAGGAAGAAGGCTGCTGGTTTCTATGATTAAGGATCCAGGGTGATCCTGCAAGCGGTTTGGCCCCTAGGGGTCACCTGGAGGAGGTGAGGAGGCAATTTAGCCGCAAACAGAAGAAGCGTGTTGGCACGGAATCACGGAATTGTGATTTATTTATCATTCACATATTGTTTTTGGACATTTTCCAGATCATTTGAGCATTTTTTTAGTGTGGACACTTTATTGCACTCTAGCACTTTCTGTTTAGCCCCTTTAATTTGTGGCGTTTTTCTATATACTATATTAAGTGTGTGTACACGGTTTTTGAGTAAGTGAGAGGCACATTCTTATGATTTATAGGTACTGTAATCAATTTAGTGTGTGTGCACGGGTTTTTTAAGTGAGAGGCACAGTTATTGTCATTAATTTGGGTTGACACTATATTTGTTTAGCACTATTTGTAGTTATGAATTACGCTCCATATGAGTTACTAATTTTTATGAGCACTGCACTATTTGTTTAATGTTTAAGACTGTACAACAATAGAGTCAAGTATAGAATCAAAACTTTAGTAAAACAGCACAGCTTTTTTTTAATCCTTAAAACAAAGGTGAACAGATAGAAGGATGTGAAAGACAACAGGTTCTTTTGCAAACTTTCCTGTTGTCAGCAAACACCATGATTGGTTAATCATGATCACATGATGTGCTCACAGATGTCTCTGGCAGGTTCATCCAAAAACTTGGGCAGCATGCTCAAGGGAATCAGAGTAATCTTCTGAGCGCTCTTCAGCTAGGGAAAAAGGACTTTAAGTACCGTATTTTTCGCTCCATAAGACGCACCTGACCATAAGACGCACCTAGGTTTTAGAGGCAGAAAACAGGAGAAAAAAAAAAATTCTGAACTAATGGACTGCAGACATAGTACAGGAGATGACCAGAGACTGCGGACACAGTACAGGGATGACCAGAGACTGCGGACACAGTACAGGGATGACCAGAGACTGCGGACACAGTACAGGAGATGACCAGAGACTGCAGACACAGTACAGGAGATGACCAGAGACCGCGGACACAGTACAGGGGATGACCAGAGACTGCGGACACAGTACAGGGGATGACCAGAGACTGCGGACACAGTACAGGGGATGACCAGAGACTGCGGACAGCACAGGGATGACCAGAGACTGCGGACAGCACAGGGATGACCAGAGACTGCGGACAGCACAGGGATGACCAGAGACTGCGGACAGTACAGGGATGACCAGAGACTGCGGACAGTACAGGGATGACCAGAGACTGCGGACAGTACAGGGGATGACCAGAGACTGCAGACACAGTGGAAATGACCAGAGACTGCGGACAGCACAGGGATGACCAGAGACTGCGGACAGCACAGGGATGACCAGAGACTGCGGGACAGTACAGGGATGACCAGAGACTGCGGACAGCACAGGGATGACCAGAGACTGCGGACAGCACAGGGATGACCAGAGACTGCGGACAGTACAGGGATGACCAGAGACTGCGGACAGTACAGGGATGACCAGAGACTGTGGATAGTACAGGGGATGACTGCTGACCTTTGGGGAGGGGGGGAGCGGGTACCTGAATTTGACAGATACCCGCTCCCACTTCCGCGTAGTTGTTCTTTCATCTTACCTGTTCCTCTATCCAGCCGCGCGCTGTCTTCCCGGCTTCTGTAATGGCGCTCGGCATGACAGCCGGGTGCCCAGTGCGCATGAGCGAGAAGCACTTGCGCTTTGTGATTGGTCCGGCGGCTTCTGGGATCTGTCATGTGTCCCAGGTGCCGCCTTACCATTCACAAAAAGCACCGCTTCTTGCGCATGTGCACTTGGCACCCGGCTGTCATGCCCACACTACAGAAGCCGGGAAGACCGCGCCGCTGGATAGAGGAACGGGTAAGATGAAAGAACAACTCCACGGAAGTGGGAGCGGGTATCTGTCAAATTCAGGTACCCGCTCCCCCCCTCCCCAAAGGTCAGCAGTCATCTCTATAAGGTCCCGCTGTAGAGCTGAGCGGCCGGCCCGGTATTCTGACACGGCGGCAGTGGAAATACCGGACCGGCCGCTCCATATTCGCTCCATAAGACGCACTGACATTTTCCCCCCTTTTTTGGGGGGAAAAAAGTGCGTCTTATGGAGCGAAAAATACGGTAATACCTTCCTGGCTTGGGTAACATGCCAGAAGGATGTTAATTTACATGGGGCATAGGAACATGTTAAGCCTAAAGAAGCCTATTTTCTGCAAAAATCAACAATGTTGCATCTGCATCTTCAACCCTAGCGCATCACCGCTCCATGTATTACTCTACAATAGGTAATGTGTTTTCGCATATAAAGTTAGTTTTCCACATGCCATTTTCATTAAAGCCCACAGCTCTTTATCATGGCTTGTCATACTGAATTTCTCTAAATAGACTTGAATGTTTCCCTTCAAGCACATTTGAACAAATAAAAGGCAGAAAAGCTGACAGCTATATTTTACATTGTGCTCATTTTTGTATTGTTTATGCTTGTATGACTGTATTAACCATTAATTTATACAGAGAAACCTCATGTAAAAATGTCTAAATACAGAACAGTCTGTGCATTCCTCCTTGCATACAATCAGTAATTTTTTACATACACTAACCTGCTCCTGTATCGTAAAAAAGGTATAATCGCTTAGTTGCTACAAGGCAAATCTTTCTGGACACTTTATATATAAAAGTCCCAGTAATATGTTTGACATTATAAGTACTTTCAAAAAAATTAAAAATATATGCTGGTTTTCAAAAAGAGTGTTGAAGAATTCTTTTTTGCCTCTGCAAGACAAATATTGGTGCTTATGATAGATTCAATTACGCTGATGACATGGTGGCTTAGGAGCCGGCACTTAGGCCATAACAGGTTCCCTGCCTGCCAAATGCACCTGTCACATAGACAGCTGCAGTAGCTGAAGAGCTGTTTTTGGTGGGCAAAGCCTGATTGGGATGCTGAGAGACTAGATCCTCATCATGTCCACCTATCTTGTGATTGGCAGGGAACTGCAATGGATGAATTCCATAGCTGCTAGAAACCCCAAAAGGGAATATGGAATCCACCCACTACTGTTCGCTACCAATCACAAGGGAGGCAAATCTGATGGGAAACTCTGAAAGAATGATCTGCTTTCAGCTGCTGGCCAGGAGATTGCCGTCAATGACCAAATATGGCTGTGGACGGGGCTCATCACCTGATGTGGGTACCTGTGCGAATATGCTTGCTGATGCCCGGGTAACACGAGCAAGGGGCCATGGTCATACAGAATTCAGCTTTAAGGATGCACCCCCAAGTCAGAAAAAGCCACTCGCTTTGCACAGTTCCACTTGGTAGACTTTAACACTTTGCAGTTAGGCACTTTTCCCTTGTTACTGTACTTCTCCTCACAAGTACAGCAATTGCAAAGTGCCTTTGTCCTACTCACCAGCACAATCATGACTGTCACCTCACTCCCAGTGAAAATGTGAGTTCTCGCCATACACATACAAAACAGACAGCAGTTACTAAGGAGCTTTAACATTTTCTTTACTATCTCTTGCTTGTGTACATCCAGGCTAGGTCCCTGGGTCCCCTGTGCTGAGATATAGGTCCTGAGTATGGAGTACCAATCACTAAGGAGGGTTTCAAGCTCCCCAATTCCTTCATTACTGGGGTGACTGTCTCCCATACAAGATACTGACCTTCCACTGGCTGGCTGCTGTAGCATCCTCCACCACTTTGCTGCTTACCGGTAACAACTGCAATATAGCCACAGCTCCTGTCAACTGCTTTGCACGTTTAACACTTCAATGGTGGCCCTCTCTCTCGTATCTCCTCTTCATCCCCATGTTATACTTGCCCTGTTCATGACATGCCCTGCATGCACCCCTTTTTGGTAAGAACTCCAGACAAAGCACGGTTAATGGATTTTTACTAAAGAACGTCTTGTAATACAGTCAGTTCAAACAATCTCTCAGAGACATATTACAGCATAACCCTTTCCTTCCTACCCCAGGCTGTAAGCTCATACCGCACCATGTTGTAAAGTCCTTTGCTCACAAAGTCCATGTAGCTCCAACAGAACCTCGACTGGGTACCCACAAAAGGGATCACCTTCCTGAGAGGTGGCAATTACATCAGTCCACAGACCAACTTGGTCTCTCTCCATGTGCTTCCAAGGACTCTGAGAGATAACCTCCCCTTGTATTATTGGCCACATAAAGGGGTGGAACCATGAATACCCAGGAGTCAGTACCTTAACCATTTCCTGACTCCTGGGCAGCCTGCTAACTAAAGCATGATACATACAGAACATTTAAATAACATGAGTTTGTACAAAACACTGAATTAGCACAAGACAAAAACTCTGCCCCACTTTACATTACACTTACATTCATCTGTTGGTGGGAAATTCCGCAGCCACCGGCGTACTAGTAATCCACAAGCACTTGAATGAAACACTTGAATTTTTAGTGAAGAAATACATCTGCCTTGTTTGTGTTTCATATTTTAGCCTATTCTGCCTCTTCATGTTCACATACTGTCAGAGTGCTGGACAATTTTTACTAAACTATGCCCAAGGGCTATTGCTCTGAAACAGGCCAGCAACAATAATAGTTAGCCAGCAACAAGTAGGAAATACGCCCTGTGAAAATCCACATGCATGCAGCCTGTTATCACTGTACTGCATGTGGACAGGAACAGAATGTAAAGAAGCTGAAGGACATCAGCAGGATAAAGATCTAAGAAAAGGATGATATAAAGGCAAATTTCAAACTCACTGTATCCACCGCATACCTACGGTAACAGGGGACCCAAACCTCACCCCTAATTTCCTAGCCCACACAGAAAAAAAAAATTACGTGTTTCTAGGATTTGGCAAAAATTGTGGGTGCATTTTACTATGTGAAGGAGCCACATACAAGGTTCTTTACAATAAGTCTGCAAAATTGTAAAGTAGTTCTTCACAGGAACTAGTTTTAAGCAACTTAGCAGATTGCCTCAATGAAGAGATGGGTGCAGGACTGCTGTTAGAAACCACATATTTTCCAAAAATAATTGGGGTATATATTGTGCTTTTATTTTTAAATTCATTAAAGTGTATTTTGTCCCAAAAAATTGTATTTAAAAAACCACTGCGCAAATATCATGTGACATAACAAATTGCAAAGGTAGCCATTTCATTCTCTACAGTCTTTGCTAAAAAAAAAATATATAAGGGTGTGTGGGTTATAGGTAATTTTTCTAGTAAAAATACTGATTTAAACTTGCAAATAATAAGTGCAGAAAATGTTTGGTCTGTAAGTGGTTACTATTTATAATAATACTGTATACTGTGGATTCAGGAGTATCCAATTGACTTTTTGGATCAACAAAGAATTTGTTCAGTTAGAGAATTTTTTACCTTCCTCAGGATAAACTGTGGATTTAGGACTGTGAAGCTGCAAGAATTTTTAATTCATTTTTTAAATTTTTTGGAAGGACATGTCTTTTTCAGCTTAAATACATGTCAGTATATATTTTGACCCTCTTATGAATACGCTGAATGGCCAAACTGTTTTCAAAGTATTACAAGGTAACAGAAAAACCAACACCTACTGTAGCATATCTTTTCTGCTCCCCCCCCCCCACCTTATGACATTATTTTCAGGAAACAATAAGTGCAGTTTTATTTTCCCAACCGCTGTCACTGTAGTTTTTGATGGCCTCATTGGTCCTTATGTAAATGTGGAAATAAAATAACAAAGTAAACATAAAATAATAATAAATAAACTCATATACTAAATCCTATCATTACATGTATTAGCCACATTCAGAACGCTAGATTTTTTTTATGATAGTGGTCCTTCAAATAGGGTAAGTGCTAGGCCCATATTTATATAGCAGTGAATGTGACATTCACCAAACATCCACAGGTAGTTATTTGTTCCCTATAATTTAAAATCAATCAATGCAGTAAATATTTGGTGAAAGTCACATTCACTGCTTTATAAGTATGACCCATAGTGATTCTGCACAAAATTAGTTGCTATTATGAAATCTAAATATTATCAGTGATACATTGCTCCATCAATCTAAGTGTTCTTCATAACGCAATACAAACACATACATAAAACATACCCAAAAACAATTACATATAACTTGATAGTAAAACACATATTAACATAAGATACATTTGGAAAAAGAGCTCTCCCTATACAAGAATATGCTCTAGACTAGGCATAGACACCTTTAAGATAGTACAGAACAAAATCATCCACTGAGCGCTCATTGTTTTTTATTCTTATACTTACAATAGTAGAATTGCACATTTTTTGGAATGGAAATTAATATGAATGGATTGCCGTAGGTGTTGAGTTATTTATGAATACTTAATTTTGTATTGCAGGTACTTAGTAATTCTACACAACTGTTACGTCAGTAAAAAAAAAGAACATACAGTATGAGAGCTGTTTATCATTCCATCAAAATTCCCTTGGTAAAGCACAGCAGTGTGATTTTTTTTTTTGTTAGAATAGTAAAACAGTTGCCATTTACAA